TCACCATTTGCTGCAACCTCCGGTGTTCCCCAGGGCAGCAATTTAGGACCATTGCTGTTCACAATCTTTTTCAACGATGTGACGCTCCTCTTGCCGAGTGGTTGTGTGCTCATATACGCCGATGATCTCAAACTATACATTGTTGTCAAGAACGTCGAGGATTGCCGTCAGCTCCAAGCAATGTTAGACCAATTTGTTGATTGGTGCCGCTTAAACAAGCTTTCCGTCAGTATATCAAAATGTGTGGTCATGACATTTAATCGCACAAGAACGCCAATCGTATTCGATTACTCAATTGATGGATTTGTACTAGAAAGAGTAGAACAAGTAAGCGACCTAGGTGTAATGCTGGACCCTAAACTTACGTTTGACTTACACCGTTCAATGGTAATCACTAAGGCTAATCGTCAGCTTGGTTTTATATCAAGAATCTCAAGAGATTTTTCGGATCCGTACTGTTTAAAAGCACTGTACTGTTCACTCGTTCGTCCGATTATCGAGACTGCATCTGTTGTTTGGACTCCCTACCAACTTTACTGGAACATCAGAATAGAACGTATCCAAAAAACAATCATTCGTCGAGCATTAAGACAACTTCCTTGGAGAGATCCACTAAACTTACCTCCGTATGCTGAGAGATGTCGCTTGCTAAGCATGGACACGTTACAACGACGGCGACAAATTCAACAGGCAACATTCGTCGCGAAGTTATTAAGTGGTGAAATTGACTCTACCCACTTACTCTCTTGCTTGAAATTTCGTGCGCCAAGCAGATTTCTACGCTCAACGTTCCTATTGCGTCAAGACTCACACTGCTCTTCTTTTGGACAACATGAACCTGTTATGAGTATGATTCGCACGTTTTCTACAGTTGAAGAGTTGTTCGAGTTTGGGGAACCTGCTGCTCAATTCCAGAGACGTATTATTAACTCCAGATACATTTAGTATTTGTTATGGCTTCTGGTTCATTAAGACTTATTGTCAGATGGATGTATTAAATAAAAATAAAAATAAAATAAAAAATAAAACTATACCCCTAGAATCAATGTTTGAGAAGCTATTAAAAAAGCGCAAGAAAACGGCAAAAAGCAACACCGTGCAGTGGGCCACGGCTGACTTTGAGATTGAGCTCGTTGAATTAGCATGTAGAAATAACAACCCTCGCGACTGTAGTGTAACGTGAGGAAAAATAGACAAATTTATGTTCCGTTTCGGTGGTGTCAAGTGTTCAAATCTTTTTTAATGCTCCTGTGAACAATGAAGCAACCTCTACATAATATGAATTTATGAAACTGGTTCATGGAATTCTAGTGCTGGAATCTAGATAAGACGTGAAAACTGCTAACAATGCGAATCTTAGCAAAGTAAATATTGCAGTAGAATAATTTTTATGTTCAATCTCAAAACAATCTTTTGCGGAACCCCTTATATTGTTACTTATTAATTTATTTGATAAGGCTCAAACGAATTAACTTTACAGAGCCGATGATTCTTGGTCACTACATAATACATCTTAAAACTATAGTCAAAAGGTACAACACAATACACACTTTATCTTCCGCTATCCAAAAAGACTTATCCATCAGAACTGGAACCGCTTCCAGTGGTTTTCCTTGTATGGCAATTACGCCATCGGGGGGGCAGAGCGCTTCCATTGCAGCAATGGACGCAAAACGTAGTCAGCACTCACACACTCATCACGAAACGGTTGCTTTCCAAAGCCGACGACGCATCGACCGAAAGAACTGCCGATGAAGAACAATGAGGACGATCACACAATGGTTGCTACCGAGACGATCGCGTGGCATACATCGAGAGTAGCCTGCTTTTGTCGACATCCGAGTGAACACTGGAACCCCTTATAGTAAAATAACAAATAAAGATTGTTGAATACAGTATAATTGTTGTTAGCAATATTTGGTTCGACTAACAATCATGTTTAACGAGTGTACGATAACATGGTTGAAAATTATTTCAATTATTTATGCCAAACAACCATATCAGATTTATTTTATTGGGAGCGATATGCATCCCAAAGTTCACGCCAATTCAAATCATTGCTGTTGGTGACTCTAAGACCAGAGGGTCCCGAAGAAACGTGCTTAACTTTTTGGCTCAGCTCCGGTACTCTCTTCGGTGCCAAGCTAATCGATGCCCCACTCGAAACGTAGGAAAATCGTAGGAACCCCTCATTTTATCTGTCAAACTTTCATAGCGAATCAAAACAAACATAGTGTAGTACTACAATTTCGACTAGAATGGGGTACGTTCATCGATGTACTTGGGACCGATAGGCTAGTGCAGTGTGAGTTAATTTAAAATCGTTAGCTACCACCGGTTGATTGATCTGTTTACAATATACAATCGTCAAAAATCGTCGAAGGCTATTCCAATGAGATATTTATTTATTTATTTATGTATTTGCTTAATTAATCATCTGACTGTTGTCTACATGAAATATCTTAAAAACTATACCGCGTTTCTAATACGAGTCAAAAAGCGAGCATAAGGTTCCCCAAATTCAAACAATTCTTCAACAGCCGTGAACGTACGCATCATAGTTGTTAGTGGTTCGTTGTAACCGAATGCTGTTCGATGGTATCGTGGTTGGAGTAGGGTACCACTTCGTAATGTTCTCGGCGGCACTCGGATATCTAACAGCGAAAGAAGACTCACGCAGTCAACATCCCCATTCAATAACTTGGCAACAAATGCTGCCTGTTGATTCTTCCGTCGACGTTCCAGGGTTTCCAAACACAGCAAATTGCAGCGATCAGAATACGGCGGGAGATTTTGCGGATCGCGCCACGGTAGGTTACGCAATGCCATTCTGATAAACTTTCGCTGAACACCTTCGATCCTCAAGTTCCAGGTCAACTGATGAGGAAACCAGACCAAGGAGGCGTTTTCCAGGATAGGTCGAACAAGGGAGCAATAAAGAGCTTTCAAGCAGTGTGGGTCAGAGAAGTCTTTTGATATTTTCGACACGAATCCTAACTGACGGTTAGCCTTGGTGATCACAGCAGTACGATGGAGGTTAAACGATAATTTATTATCTAGTAGAATGCCTAGATCGCTGAACTGGTCGGTTCTTTGCAGTATAACACCGTTGATGGCATAATCGAAAATAATCGGCTGCTTGATGCGGTAAAACGACATTGCCATGCATTTGGGTATGCTCGCGGTAAGCCTATTCCGATTGCACCAACTTATGAATAGATCCAATAGCGATTAAAGACGAATACAATCCTCAGTACATCGCACCACGAAATACAGCTTTAGGTCATCGGCATACGCAAGCCTGCAACCATCTCCAAGTACAAGCAATACGTCGTTGAAGAATAAAAGAAAAAACAACGTACAACAACAATATACATGTTTTTTCTATAGTGCAAACTCAAATGACTGTCCAATAGTTTCTACATATCTATTTGCACGCTATATATCAACAAACATACCCGTAAAAAGAAACTCTAGGTAGGTCACTCCGCACACCAATCATGGGTCATCTTTTTTGTCAGTGTGCCAATTGTGCCGGTCATAGAGCAAGCTGCGATAGTTTGTAAAATATCCATCCCGGCAGCCCGGTATTTCAGACACCTTGAATGTTTTGGTTTGAAATTGCAAGGATAAATCGAATTAAGGATGATGCGGGAAGTGGCGAGTGGGCGAAATGTTTGTGTTTTGTGTTCATAGGATAATAAAATTCCTGTGTTTTATGGTTTTATAATGCCCTCAAAGGCAGACCAGATACCTAGCCTTTCGTGATGTGAAAGCAACGGTCTATCAGCGGCCGAAAAGAGTTGAAATCGGTGGGGAACATTATTGGAGACCGACTATAGAGGATGATGAATAGACTTCTGTCGTTTTTTTTTGTGCGAGTTGCAGCATTAGTTGAATTAAGGATACTAATGTGGTCTGATGGAATGCCTCTTTCTCTTAAGCCCACATACTTAGAAAAAATCATGTAAATTTAGGTGCTCTGAGACTGGCATATACGAGCGTCAATTTTGACGTAAAATTGAGTCATAACAGAAGCTAAATTCAACTTAATCAAACGTACTTATCGTCGAGTAACGAACTTTTCAGTCTCGGACCACTTTATTTGACATGAAATATTTAATATTTATGTCAAAGATGGATTCCGTCACGTGTAAAATTTGTTATTTCTAAGTGTGCACTCTAGAATCTACATTTCGCATTTAGATGTATAAGGGAACTGCTGGTGTGAGTTCCTCTGGTTTATTCAATCAGAGGATGTTCCTGAATATACAGTCAAACAGCACGTAATGTTGTGAACATCTTCAATGACAGTGTCCAACAGTGCTCCCATTTTATTTACAATAATCCAATGCGTACGAGATTGTACCGAAGGTGTGCCGATGGATGTGCCCAAGCTGTGCCGAATCTAATTTAGGCTCAATGTGCTGAAAGACCTATCCCTGGCTTTTTGCTATTTCACTTTTTTATGTTATTCACACGGAAATCATATTTGCTATGCAAAAGTTGATGTTCCACGATTTTTGGCAATTTTGGTGTCATTGGATTTAAATATTCCAAAAGTTTACATTTTAATGAGTTTTATGCCAAAAAAGAAATTAATTATACTGATGATAACCCTTTTGAGGTATTTTTTTTTAATTTGTGTGTATATTTTCCCCAGGAAGACTATACTTTTCTGAACAACTTTGTCTCAGACGTCATTTCGATCATAAGTAACGTTCTCGTGCTACAATTTATTGAAATATATCAAATACGCCATTTTGAAAAAAATACTAGATCCAAAATGGCCGAATAATTGAAAATCTGTGAATGATTGCCCATAACAGACAATTATGCAAAAAGCTAGTCAAACAGTCAATTAATCATAATTTTAGCCAAAACATATTCCAAAGTGATTGACTTCTGCGAATAACATACTTTACATTTTTAACTGTCAGCCAGTTTCGCAGTGAACAACCTTATCAGTCTACATTATCAGCTACACATTACTGGCTAGCGTACGCAGAGCTAATTGTTTAGCATTTAAGCAGTTAATCCAGAGAAGCCTACATTAGCAAATTGTAGGTTTTGCTTGTGTGCACAATCAGTAGATAGTTCGAAACGGTGCCAGTCTTCACTCGCTGCTCCATTATGACAGAATTTTCCGGGTAAGAAAGCTTCTTTAAAATCGTTCGACTGCATTAATGCTAACTAATGAAATCCAACGTTAGGCGCACGGTATTACTGCTCTGTATGCTGTTATATTCATTACCCAACCATACCTGCAGGTTTAGTCGAAAATATCTGCCATTGAGCAGACGCATAATAGAAAATGTAACTCTCTGCAACTACAAAGACAAGTTCACCGAAATCGATCTGCATAATGAACCGAACGTGGAATTCAAAAACTCCCGTTTTCCCTTCTTCGGAGAGGAAATCATCCATTCGATGAACTACACAACGAAAAGCCTCACATTTCGCCGAGGTTCCGTGAGGGAAATTTTGATTTCGTCACCAGTACTGGAAGTGCTCCAGGTGATCAACACGGACCTCGTCACGTTGAATGCGGTGCCGTTTTTGAACTACAGTTTGCGGCAACTCACCATTCGTTCGTCGGAATTCTCCCGGTGGTTTCCGAGTTTGACGTTTCTGAGAAGATTAGAAGAAATCGATATCGCATACTGTAACTTTTCCTATCTCAACATGGACTGGTTCGAGCCGTTACCGAAGCTGAGGGTTTTGGATGTCGCCAAAAATAAATTGACTACGCTGGACATCGGTCCAACCCTGAGCATGGGAGCGTTGAAAAAGTTACACCTTTGGGGAAATCGATTGGAACGGCTACAAAGGTTTCCGGACGCTTTTCCAATGGTCGAGAGAGTTACCCTGTCGCAGAATCGGTGGCATTGTGACTGGTTGTCTAAAGCTCGCGACGCGATCTTATCCATGCGGGTGGTGTTGATGGATATGGACGATGGTTGTCAGGCTGGATGGTTCAACAACGGTGGACTGTGCTGTAGGTTTAGAATGATATCGTTAACGATGGTTTCGTCGCAGCAAGAGGCAGTAACTCTGGATATTTTGGTACCGGATCAAGTTGAAGCGTTGAAACACGCAGCCATTTTCAATGAATCGTTGATTGGAATGCAAATGGGTAATGCAGCTGCTTTCTTGGATATGCCACTAGTGGAGTGAAATGCTCATTTGTTTCACTCAAACTTGTTGGTTTTCAACACGTCTAAATAATATAAGTAGATGTTAGTAATTGCGGTGTATTAAAATTAATCTTTCGAATAGTTTCCGTTAGTTTGACACCGTCTCAGATCGTATGCTCTAGTTGGGGTAGAAGTTCCAGTCGGGGCTATACATTCCTATTTATGTGTGTTTCAATTATGACGTTAAAAAGGACAAAAGTTCGCTTGAAAAAAAAATCTAAAATTCAACGGCGAAATCAACAAATCGTTCTCAAGAACTGGTTACGTTCCAAAACAGGAGGATTTAGTAATATTCGAGAATACGAATTTTACCTTTTGTACTCCAAGCTTTCATTTGGTCTCATTGGCCATTCGATACTTTAACAATTTTAGCCATTTGTCGTTCCCAGATTATATTCGAACGCTTTTCACTCAACCTTTTGTTCTACAACAGAACTATCCACGTCGTGAGCATCATGACTACGGGGAGAAGGAATTTGAAAGCTCTCTCTTATGAACTATCTTCTTTCTACGTAGTTTATGCACAGCCCCTAAGTACATTTGCCAAATATTGTTGCAAATCATTCCTATTACATAAGTTACCCAAAGTCTTTGGATGTCCCGTATGAAGAGATAGATACCTTCTTTACAACAGATAGCAAATGGCATCACACATTTCACCATGCCTTACATATGTAGATTAGTTAACTCCAAAAGAGTTGTATAGTTGTAGAAGAAGTGTGGACCAAACTCAATGGACTAAATTGGAAAAATTCCAGAGAACTTACAAATCATTCCCATAGGACTGGGAGGTATCATGTCTACGTAATAGACCATTTTTGGGGGCTGTCTCATTTCGCCGAAGGTAATTTTTCCGAAAGGGTCGTTTCGCCGAAAAAAAATCACCGATTATAAAATTATGAATTCTTTAATGTATGGAATACATACGAACCATAAATTAACAACAACTTGACAACGAATAAATAATCAAGCGCGGAAAGGATTTTACTGATTTCCACCCGAATAATTATTGCAGCTATGCGAATAACCAACACCTTTCAACAGAAGTCTGACTATATGTGTCATCCACAATTACGATTACATGAATCGAAAATCGAAGGAAATATTTCATAAAATCATTAAATGTTGATGGAATAAATTTTAAGAAAATGCCGAGCAGCTTTTTTCAATGGAAAAGCAACCGTTTCAAAATGACAAATGCTCGGTCTCAAAAATAATTCCAAGGATAGTAAATTTAGAAAGAAATGCTCTTATTTCAAAGAAGGAACAACTTCCTACAGCCTTTTTAATTTTAATGAAATAATGTTATGAAACATAAGTGCAGTTCTTAAAAGAAGGGAACATTAATCCCATGAAACTTTCAAGTCCTGGTTTTGCAAAGACTGTTTAATTTAAATCTCGGTTGAAATTCGCTTTACATGAAGGATTTGTGATGGCAAAATATCGTTCCGCAAAATGTCCTTCGGTGAAATGACACATTCGGTGCATTATTTTTAGATGAAATTTCCTTGGTCGAAATGTCTCGCTCCCTGTTTTTGAGAGGTTTTAGACCTGCCCCACGACCAAACAATTTTTTGGAAATTTGTATGGAACAAAGACACTCGCCATTATCTTATCCGTTAGATCAGTCGGTAAAGGCACTGCTATTGAGCAAGACGATGCTGGAGGCAGCTGGGTTGGGTTCCCGGTCCGGTCTAGGAATTTTTCAAGTTAAAAAAAATGCTAGACTTCCCTAAGCATAGAGTATGATTGTTCTTTCCACAAAATATATACTAATTCAATAATGGTACAGGCGTCGAAAGCTCTCAATTTAACAACTGTGAACAACTGGAAGTTATCAAAGAACACTAAGTTCAAAGCCAGTGTGAAGTCCCAGTGGGACGTAATAAAGCCTGATAGAAATAAGATAGACACCCGTCGAATTCCAGAGTAACGTCGAATTCCAGAGTAACCAGAAGTCTTATTGGTCGCTCCTGATTCATTGGATAACTTCACAGTTATAGTCCATACCTAAAAGTACTCTGTGGAGCTACCCAAAGAGTCCAGAGAATTTATGGATCAACTTGAGAACCAGCGTCTACGCCATGACACTGATGGGCTCTAAAGAACTCATTCAACAATTACGTAAGACTCCTAGCATAACTTCAGTGACCATTATGGTAAATTTCAGGGTACATACTTGAATGTCTAGTTCAGAGAACTTAAAGTCCTCTGAACTAGACATTCAAGTACCCTGAAATAGGAGCCCTTTAGAGTCAACCGGAAAGGCCTAAAGGGCTCCTAAAATTAACCCAAAATAATAGTAGGTTAACCACAAATGGTTTAGAAGTCAACTTCGTAATACTTAGTTTAACCCAATGGGCATTTGGGTTAACTCAAGAAGTAGCAGCGCCGGTGGCGTAGTGTTAATCGTGATTGCCTCTCCCTCCAAAGGGCCAGGGTTCAATCCAAGCCAGGGCCGTCGGGATTTTCTGAGGCATAAATTTTCTGATCATGCCTTCCTTTGGACGGGAAGTAAAACCGTTGGTCCCCGTTCCATGAGCTGATGGGTCGATAGGTAGGTTCCAGGTGTGGAAGCTATCTCCCTGGCGTCGGTGGCATTGGTACTCAAAATTAATCGATAACAAATCAAGGATTTTTTTTTTCATCAGTGATCTTGTTAATTCAGTTGCTATCCATCTCTCAGACTGATTGGACGTTGTATCACCAGACAATACTTTCGAGCATCTTTTGTACGACGCGCGTGTGTTTTTTTTTGCCATGCGGGCTTTAAGAGCAAATTGTGTCGTGTTAGACACATCAATTCTTCCGAAGCGACCGTGTATCTCGGATATTAAAAATTTCTTGGACAATGAGCTGCAGCTCGACATGTCACTGGTGAAAAGTATCCAGCCACATAATGTCAAGAACGTTGTGTATTTGGGTATGAAAAGTGACGTAGTAGCAGAAAGAATCGCTTCAGCTCATCACCTGAAGCATTTCATGGAATACGAAAGGAAGAAAATCTTGATTCCAATTTACGTCGAGAGCAGTGCGGTCGACGTGCGCTTGCATGATCTTCCGGACGACATGGATAATGTGGCTATCATTGATCATATGCGTCAGTATGGTGAAGTGATAGCCATTAGAAGCGAAGTCTGGAAGAGCTATTTTCCAGGCTTTAGTAATGGAGTACGCGTTGTGAAAATTAAGCTTACTCTCCCCATCCCATCGTACATAACCGTCGACGACGAAATTACGATGGTATCCTACCATAATCAGGTAAAAACATGCCGTAATTGCGGGCGCAAATCCCATCCCAAACAACGTTGCTCTGAGGTGGCCACAGAAACTGCAAACGAGGACAATAATCCCCAAACTGATCAACAGAATAGAGGCATCAACAACAGTAACAGCGTGAACAGTCAAACAGTCAACAAACAACAATCAAACGCAGCCAACGGTAAGCAGTGGCCCTCTCTTTCCAAATCAACACCTATTGCAGAGCAACAGCACAACAATAAAACTGAAACAAAACGCCAAAGATCGATCGACTCGGACACTACGAACAATGTAACGAAAAAATTGAACGCAAACGACTCCACCGAAAGTGATAGCAGCTTGATCCCAGTGAGTGGTGATATTTGTCCCTATACGCAGCGCCCATATAGGATTCCAGATGTTTCACACATTGAAGATCCAGAAGAACGGTGTGCATTGATCGAGGAGAACAAGAGGAGGATTGATGCCGCCTATTTAGAGCAGCTAATGCACAAGAAAAAGAAAAAAAGTGCTTCCTAATTAAAATAAATTGTCTATTTGTTCATAGCATTCGGCTCCGTTGAGTCTTATTGACATTTGAGCCTAATAAAAAAAAACGTAAGGAAAAAAAAAAAAAAAAATCTTGTTAATTTTTTGATCCAATGATAACCATGAGCTTCGGCACAGATACCTTGGATATTGTTTTATTATTAATTTATTTAATAAGGCTCATTCGAATTAACTTTACAGAGCCGATGCTTCTTGTTCACTATACAAACACCGTAGAACGATAGTCAAAGGGTACAACACAATAAACAATTTATCATCCGCTATCCAATAAGCCTCCTCCATTAGAACGAGATCCGCTTCCAGTGGTTTCATGGTATGACAGTATCGCCAACAGGGGGCATAGATTCCACTGAAGCAATGGACGCAAAACGTGGTCAGCACTCACACACTCATCACGAAACGGTTGCTTTCCAAATTCGACGACGCATTGACCAAAAGAACTGCAGATGAAGAACAATGAGGAAGATCGCACAATGATTGCTGCCGTGTGAACAGACGATCGCTTGTCACACATCGAGAGTGACCTGCTTCTGTCGAAAGCCGAGTGAACACTCCCCTTGGCGATTGTTTTGGACACTTCTACTCAGCCTTTGCTAAATTGTGCGAGCATCCAGATGCTCAGCCATCAGTATCCATTGGATGAATTGAACCTGTCGAGTAGAACATACCGCAAATCATTACTGTGGTGGCTCGGATTTTGTGTAAAGAATTGAAGACATTTGGTTAAAATGTCTTCAACTCACGCTGAAGGTCGTAGGTTCAAATCTTATCCCCAGAAATGTCACGAATAACCTAACATGTGGTTACTATAGTGAGATCTGAACCTTAGTTACACTCAATGTGACCACCAATGCTCTTATTTGAAAATCCTCATGTGATTTGATGTATCACAAGACGGGTTTTACTTCGGATCAGCATATAGTCACTTCCCCGAGGGAAACCATGTCGGAGTGTGGCCAATGTAGTCATGGACACTCAATATGTCTACTAGTGATTTAATTTTTTGAATCATCGTGTGATTTGATGTGTCGCATGATGGATGTCACTTCTAATCAGATTCTGGCCACTCTCAGACGGGTCCCAGAACATGTCCGGGTGTGGCCAATGTAGTGTTGGACACTCAATATGGATACCAATGATCTTATTTTTGAAATCTCATGTGATTTGAGG